TACTAGTTCCTAGCATTGAGATGGAAGTTGCTTTTCTTGGACAAAGACGCAAAATTCCTCTCAAACTAGAATTTGTGCCCCTCAGCTCTGTGTTTTTCAGACCTAGAATGGGATGTCAAAACCAATTTCACTGAAAGTGCTAAGACTGTAGGTATTATTATAGCTAAACAAGACGTAGTGTAGGCTAATTGGTGAAAAAACACATCTGTCTCCGGTTTTTTTTGGTGGTTTTTGTTTTTTTGGTACCAGGGATTGAACTTGGGTCCTTGCGCTTTTGAGACAGACAGCGGCACCACTGAGCTAAATTCCCAGCTGTCTCCAGATTTTTTTAATGGAGTAAAAACACGAAGGCAGGTTCTGCTTTTTTTTTTTTTTTTTAACTTAGTTTGTAGACTCTTCCTATGGAAATATTTAAGATATTTGGACATATTTAGTGCCTGTAACTTCCAGGGTTTTTCTGAAAAGTACTCTAAACCAGAGAAGATATAGATATACAATTAACTGTCAAATTGTTGTTTTCTGACAGCCCCCAAATGCTCTGTATTTTTTCTTGGCTGAGTGGCAATATGTTAATGCTAATTGAATGAGCCAATCTTTAGTCTTTTGTCTTTAACTTGTAAAATTCAAGGGTAAAGAGTATACTTTGCCCAGTTACATGTCCCTGGCTAAATGGCTTGACCACATGTATTCAGTTTTAACCTACACAAAATGGACACTCCACCTAAAAGATGCAGAACCTGGATTAAAGACAGCAGTAGTAGAACAGGCCCTAGACAACCAAACAGACCAAATGGCAAGGGTGGCACTCTTTCCTAACTACCATCATAGGAGTGAGACAGCAGTGGTCTGGTTTGATTTGGCAAGCACTTGGGCCAAACAAACAAACAAAACAGCCAGCCCTTCAGATTAAAAAAAAAATTTTTTACATGGAAATGGGGATTAAAAATTCATGTCATTATTGTAAGAGATTTCACCCAAAGTATATCTTGTGCCTTCAACCATTAAGTAACAATAATGGCCTGTGTAGATAATTTATTAAGTTAACAACGAACACATCAGATACGGAATATAGGGGTATATACTCAGGCTCTGTAACCTAACCACAGGATTCAACCAACTCCAGATTGAAAACATACAGGTAAAAAAAAATTGTGTCTGTACTAAACACATCCAAACGTTTTCTTTCTTGTTATTATTTCCTAAACATTACAGTATAACAGCTGTTTGCACAGCCTTTACATTGTACTGGGCATTATAAGTAATACAGAGGTGACTTAAAATATATGAGAGCGTGTGTTCTATGCAAAGAATATGTCATAATATGTAAGGGACTTGGGCACGCTTAGGTTTTGATATCCACAGGGAGCTGTGGACAGAGCCTAGCACCAGTTCCCTGTGGATACCAAGGGACGCTGTATTTTGTGTCTCGACCTATGAAGTAATGATAGTGGCCAGCATAGATAATGTATAAGCTAACAAAGAGTAACTCAAAGAAGTCATATGTGGCGTACATGTTCAAAATGCTTGGAACTCACTGCTCCGGGGGGTGGCATTGACTAGAGTGGATTCCAAAGGTTGGTGTCATGTTTCAAAGGTAGGGGTGGTGGCCTCAGAGGACAGATGTGCCTGTGGGCAAGATCTGAAGGGATGAGAGAGGCTACACATGAGAGGTGGTGAACCTGGAAGACTCACTGAACTAACCAGGAGACAGGAAATCTCCCCGTCTTTTCAGAGATCCACAGAATTAAGCAAGGAGCCAAGGAAAGTGAGCACAAACTCACCAAAGCAACAAGTTGTGTCTAGCAGTTTGGTTTTAGAACCAGCCAAATATAGTAGACCGCTTTGTCTGCAGGGGACAATCCAAGGCCCCCAGCAATGTTGGAAACTGTAGTCAGTACTGAACCCCACATATATTGTGTTTCTTCCTTTACCTGTACTCACTTCTCTTAGACATATCTGAAATGCCAGCCTCTCTATTCTTAGACTTTGAGGCTATTGTTAAGTAAAGGTCACTTGAACACATATGAGTAGAATATACAGCTCGGATACCCTAGACAAAGGGCTAATTCATGTCCCAGGCAAGACTGAGTGGGATAGTGCAAGATTTTATCACACTACTCAGAACAGCGAACAGTTGAAAACATGTTTATTTCTAGAATTTTCCATGGAATATTTTCAGACCACAGGAAGGCAACTGCAGAAGAGGAAACCTGGCTCAGGGGCCTCCTGCTCGTTTGGCTAGATGGCAGAGAGGGATGCGTTAGTGGGGCCTGCAGAGAGCAGATCACCCAGCCAGGCTTCCTGACCCACTCTGTGTGTTCAGCAGTCCGAGAACAGAAAGGCTTAGAGTGAATTTTGATCCAAACCTCTGGCCTGCTGCATTTAGCCATCCTAGCAGAGCTTTCTCCAGGTAAGGCAAACACACCTTGGTGTTCCATCCCTTTTGAAAGTGTCTGGACAGAAAAGGCCTGTGGGCTCTCGCCAGGGCAGCATCATAGTTTATGTAGTTTTACTCTGCAGAAAGGCTCTCAGCGTCTACCTGTCCGAATGGGACACCTTCCCCGAACTCACACAGAGACACCTGTGTTGACTGCCACAGCCATAAAGCTGCCATAAATTGTAGCAGAACAGGCCAGAACCAGAAAAAAAGATCGGATGATCCAAATGCTCGTAGAGCTGATGAATTTTCTCCTTCTAACCTGGAATATGGCATGTGGAGGGCCTGATAAAGTAGCTTCACATGGTAGAAAAGCCACTTGGTGAGTTAATAGGTTCTGTAGGCCTAGGCTCGGTTTGTTAGGCCACTGGAAGTGACATTGAGTGGTGGAGAGAAGACCACTGTGAGAAACATCTGGTGGTGGCCAGAGGCCACCCTGAGACTGCAGGGATCTGGGGAAAGAAAGAACCAGAACTTCTTAAGTTGTTGCCCAAATGCCACTTGTCTCAGAAACCTCTTGTTTGCTACTTGCTGCCCCCTCTCCCGGACACACTTGTTTTGGGATCTCACTTTCCGAGGCTGAGAAGCAGAGGGTCTGTGGTGACTTAGGCTGGGAAGGGACAGCAGAGCTCCCTGGAAGCTGGTAGCAAGGCAGTGAAACCGAGCAGCACCAAGAACCGGACCAGCTCCTTGACAGCGCCTGTGGCCACCTCGTGTGCTCTGGGTCACATGGGGCCTGCAAATTGCACAGTAACGGCCAGTGTCTCTGCAGGGAAACATGTGCTTTGAGTTTTCCAAATGAGTCAGAAGCACGCTGAGAGATAAATGATGATAGCAAGCAGATGTGACATGTGCTTTTCAAGAGCGACAGGCGGGGAATCTGGGATTGGCATCCTCCACGCTCTGTGAGACGCTCAATGGGGCCTGCTCCCTTAACAAGAAACACTGGGTCCTGGGCGACTCCCTCCCCCTTGTTTCTTTCCATAAGAGGAATCTACATTTTAAGCCTTAAATGTAAACGTGTTCTGGCTCCAATTTGTCGGCTGACTCTAATCGCCTTGAAACTTATATAAACTCTAGGTGAGTAATTTCCCCAAGTACAGTACCCTCTTGGAATGCATGTGCTGTGAACTCAGATTAAACTTTTAACCTTGTGTTTTTCTGGGAAGGATTATTCTCTGTTTTTATGGTTTAAAAAGGCAGTCAGAAACTCAAGAGTGCGCATGTTCTCTGGCTGAGCTAGTTTGTTCTCTTCCGAGGTTCTCTGGTGCTGTGGGTGCCTAGGGACTGTGGTCACATGTAGCCCCCTAAAAGTGGGACAAGAGGGCCCGAAGTGCCACAATCCAAACCACAAAGGCAGTGACTCTCTTGCTTCCTTCATGACACAACTGAAGGAGGGCCCTGTGCAAAACTCCTGAGTGTCTTTCGCTGATGCACACCATGTGCTAGTTGGCAAGTGACAAGCACGGCACATGGACCAGCAAAGCATGAGGCCTGCATCCTAGATTTCTGCCTCATTCTTCCAGGCCTGGCTTCCATTCATTCCTCTCCTTCCTCCTGACTCCCATCAACAGGACTCAGGCTGTCCCAGAGTGTCTAAGGAAGGACTAATGTGGCCCTGGTATCCCAAACTCACCTGGACACTGCCACCTTGACCCTGTTACCTCCACTGTCACCACGCCCGAATGAATGCTGGTATGGATCTTGACGTTGACCTTGGTCACAAACATCCCAAGGGTCCCTCGTGTTGGTGCTGGTACAGGTGTATGCATTTACATTTGCTGAGCACTTATTATAGATCTGGAACTGAGGATAAAGGATAAATGTAAACGGTGTTGCCTGGAAGGTGTTTGTGAGCTTGCAAAGGACACAGATGCCTGTCTAGTCTGTGAACCGCAATCAATGCTACGCCAGAGGTATGGACAGATGGCTATACAGAAGCAGAGATGGTTGGTGTGAATCCTTCCAGAATCTCTCCTGACTAAAAGACAAGCAGAAGACGCTGCGTGGGCAGGTGCAGAATGACACGAGAACTCATGATATCTTCCATGACACAGCTGAGGAAGCGTGAGGGTCCATGTGGCTGGACCACAGGGTCATGGGAGAGAAGAGGGGCAAAAGGCCAAGCTGAAAAGGAAATTTGGAATCTTCAGGACCCTCATTCAGGGCTGAGGAGGTAAATATATATAGGTTCTCAAAGGGTTGAGGGACATTTATTCTTTTATTTATTTATTTTTGAGACAGGTTCTCACTATGTAGTTCAGGCTAGACTTGAACTTGAGGTGAGACTCAGCCTCCTGACTGCTATGATTACTGGTATAGGCCATCACACCTGGCTCAAGATTCAGAGAACTTTGTAGAAACATATAGTATAAGAAGATTTTTTTTTTTGGTACCAGGGATCAAACTTGGGACCTTGTGCTTGCAAGGCAGGCAACGGAACCACTGAGCTAAGTCCCCAGCCCAAGTATAAGAAAAAGAACTTTACATGTAAAAAATTTATAAAAAGATATCTGAAGTATAGGAAATAGATGAAAAAAACAGTGAAGAGTAGTTGTTCATATACAATTCATACCCAGTTGTCAAAAATGGAAGAAAATTTGACCCTGAGCTTCACAGACACCAACGCAAAAATGGAAATATGAAATTCATTGTGCCTGTATGAAAAAAGCCATTTGCTTAAGAGAAACAGGCCTCTGCTAGAACAAGAGTGTGGGGAAATTTCTCTATTGATTCTCATCGAAGGCTGCAAGTGAGATAAAGGGGGAAGATCTTCAAGAGTATCTCCTCGCTAGGAATTCTGATGGGACTGTGTCTTGTAATGTCCCTCACTGCGAATCAGTGGCACACTGCCAAAGTGTAATTCAGTAACACAACTCTATACGAGGCCAGAACGATTCGGCTTATGCCTGCTGCTTTCTGATGGTTTGGCTTGATGTGTGGATACAATATAGGGTATCTACAGGAATAGATGTTCCTTTATCTGTTAGGCAATCATTCATGAAGATTATTTCTTACAGCAGGTATCTTAAAAAGTAATAGACAGTAGGGCCGGGGATTTAACACAGTGGTACCGCTGCCTGCCTCATAAGTGCAAGGTCCTGAGATCAATTCCTGGTACCAAAAAAAAAAAAGTAATAGCAGACAGCAAACTTGAGCTTTTATTCCCTATCAAAGACCTCAAGAACAAAGGATTTCAACCCTGGGCTATGCAGCAAAGAAAAGAATAATTTCCAAAGGTGTTTAATTATGGAAGAGAAGCGATTGATCTTTAGGGACTAACAGTGCAACCCCATGGCCCCACTCAAAGTGACCTGGCATTGGGACCGGTGGTTACGTAAATTCCCTAGCCTGGCAGCACCTGTCTTGCTCTGAACTCCAGGCAGACAGGAGGTCTATAGAAGCCCTCATGTTTCAGAAGTAAAGCTGTGGGCTGAGGATCTTTGGGATTTGGCCCCTTTTGCTTACTAACTGAAGTAATTGTGTGAAGCATAAACCAAGTCCAGAAAGCATAAACCTACGTTCACAAGTATATTTGTTTTGCTTTGTTCTTGATTCAGAAGGCTGTGGTGTTCACCAAAAGGAGGGTTAATTTTGCATAACACAAATAACAAATCCCACAAAGTTACATAACAGTATAATTTATAAACTATATGCCTATCCTTCCCATCCAGTGTCTTAATTTGAACTGCATGAAAGCTTTGTGCAGGATGATTCCATCAGAGATGAGGACGAGAAGGCTTGGGCAAATTGGCATGGGTGTTTGGCGCGAGAACCAAGATTGTAACCCAAGGCTTTTGATGTCAGTACAGTTATTTTTCTACCTCCCCAGGCCCACCTGGCGTATCCAAAGGAAGAGTGAATTTATAGGGCATGCAATGGCCAGGTCTTCCTGAAAGTTCTCACTCATCATAAATGCAATGATGAGCTTGAACTGGGGTTATTAGGATTGCTTTCTAAGTGCTAAAAATAACTGTGGCCACCTCCTGCCTGCATTTTCATTGACCAAGGAAAGAGCTAACTTGTGCCTAGTTACTTCGTGATATGCTATGGAGAACTGGTGGGTAAAGATCATCTCTTCTTGATTCCCCCCAAAGAGCACCAAGAGGAGGTAAATTCAGACATTGATATCACTGCTGTCATGATGTACTGAGTTGTACACCAGCGTCTCGGAAGTCAGGACTCTTCTCCCAGTCAGCCTGAACAGTGACAGCCAGAGCGCTGCCTGTGCCCACTGGCACCACCCTCCGCCCTCCAGATGATAGCTGGGAAGATCCCAGCCATCAGTGCGGTGGGAACCTGGAACGTGTGCATACTGTTTTCAAGGAAGAAGTGAGGCACTCTGATGCGATTACTTCCAAAGGTTTCCAGAAGCAGCCCACCCCGAACCTGACCAGGGAAAATGGTTCAGAGCTGCCTTTCCCATCTGGACACACACAGTTCTGCTTGTCCCATTCTAGCTGTGCTTATGCACACTAAGTCACTTTCAGCTGAAAACACTGGGAATTTAGGAAGACTGGCTCCACATGGTGCAAGCAGCTGCACATCTGATAGCTTTCCCCTTCTTCCCCCAAGTTGTTAGAAGTTGAGTTCATGCTAAGGTAATGGGAACAAAACCCTCTGACAGCCACACTGGAAAACCCATTGTTTAGAAATGGCTTTGGGGAAGCCAGAAGTTCAAGTTAGAAGTAAGAGTAGCTGGGTGCCCTGGCATGGTCCTTTGGTCCTTCCTGGCTACTTAGGAGGCTGAGGCAGGAGGATGGGGTCAGCCTGACTTAGCAGATCTCCCCCACCCCCCCAAAAATAAACAGTGGAACCAATTCCCTCTGGACATAAAGCTGCCCACAGACACTGTGTGTTTACTTCCTGACAGGCGATGGCTTGCTGCCTTGGGGACAATGTCTGTCCCAGCAGTGTGCAGGCCAAGAGTGTCCCGGTGCCTCCCGTGACCTGCTGCTAAACCATGCGCAGGGCATTAGGAAGACAGGGCCTTCCTAACTTTGGGGGATTACGATGCATGCACGGATTTCTTCTATTATCTTTTTAATCCCTTAGCACAAATCATTTGCCAAGTGATCCTTGGTTCAAGAGGATTAAAAAAAGATGGGCAAAAGGACGTCAAAAAACAAATTCCCAGACAGGGGTTTCTGCTTTGAAAGAGCCTAACTCAGGTTTGCCATTGTCCCTGGCTTGAGGAGAGGCTGGGCCCACTCTGCTTCCACAGCAGGCAGCCCTCAGGCAGCGGGGTGGCCCATTCTGCGCCCTGCTCTGAGGAGGGGCAGATATGAGTGGGCCAGCAGAGCCCCCACCAGGCAAAGCCCTGGGGACCTGGCCACCACTGAGGCAGCAGCCTGAGAAATGAGTGGGCAGCGTGTTAGCTCACAGCTTTGCGGTTGTTTTCTTGTGCTTTTAATATTAAAGACAAAACTGCCACGAGGACCTTATCTTTGGCCTTAGAGTAGAGCAAAAACCAGTCATTAGATAGTTGTGAACAAGGTTTGTGGATTCCCATCTGTGGCCAGACCTGTGAGTGAGCTTCCGACTGTGAGTGAGAATCCTGTCATTAGCTTTCCAGAAGTGCTTTTTCTTCCAGTGCTCTTTAGGCTGGAGTCTGTGTAGTAACAAGCAGGCCTGGTTCTCTCAGGGAAGGAGGGAGGCCTACTCAGAATCAACAGAGGAAGAGCAGGGGTGGGCTTATTTGTGATCTCGAGGTTGGGCTTTAGTCCAAAAGGGGCTGCTGTTACATATCCTGGAGTCTCTATGTTAGTATATAGAGTGCTAACCATTCCCCTTTGTAATTGCTGCATAGTATTCTATACTGTGACTCTACGCACCTGTCTGTGTGTGAGAGGAATGGATGCATAGTTGTCCCTTGGCATCTGCAAGAGATTGATCTCAGGACCTCCCGCAGGCACCAAAGTCTGCAGGCGCTCAAGCCCCTTCTAGAAAATGGCATTGTTTTTGCATATAACCTGCACACACCCTCCTGTATACATTAAATCATCTCTAGGTTACTTCTAACACTTGATACAATGTAAATGCTATGTAAACAGTTATTAAACAGTATTGCTTAGAGGGTAATGATAGAAAGAAGTCTGTACACATTCAGTACAGCTGCAATTTTTAAAAATACCTTTGATCCGTAGTTGCTTGAATCATAGGATTCAGAACCAGGGATACAGAGGGCCAGCTCTCATTTTCAAACATTCTATTCTAATTTGGGGTGAAATAACTTCTTTTGCAAAAGGACATTGGCTGAAATTCCATCACTTCTACATTCCATTCTGTCAGTGAATTCAGTTGCTCCACCTTCACATGAAATTGTCAATAATGCGGTCAGGTTGTTTTCCTCCTAACCTGCGGCTCAGATACTCTACGGGGGAAGAGCGTTATTTTAGGAGGAAGAGATACTTTGGCCCACGAAAAGTTGGGGAAAGGAGCACCGTGTGAGGTGCTGTGGTTAGCTGACCCTTATCTGAGCACACTTGGCCCAGTGTGGGTGTCCAGGTAGAGGTCTCCAGCGGTGCCCTGTTGCCTTTGTTGAAAATGTAACTAAGCTGACCCTGGTTGGTGTGGGTAGTTGTGTGCTCTTCCGAGAGTTCCTTGTTCTGAAAGAAAGGGAAACAGTTTTACTAGCATTAGTGCTATCTTTAAGGGCTCCTAGGAATCAGATTTTGCAGCAGAAGCTGCCTCAAGTGGCACAGTAATTGGCAGGCAGACAGACCTTCAGTGCAGGAATACTTCCAGTCATTTCCCCAGCAGGGCCCCATGACAGACAAGCTCTGAGATGTGGTGGCCACAGATACCTAATGCAAGGACGCTGGCAGACTAAAACTGGGGTTCCTAACTCCATGGTGGCACGGTTGTCACCGGGAGCCCCACACACACCTGGAAACTGGGGAGTGGCTCTCTTCCTAAGAGGTCACGGCTGATGTCAGCTCCTCCTTTCCAGCCACGTGAGTGTGGGCGGTAATGATGGCGCCATGTTAATTAAGACTGATGGCCAAAAGAGCCATTGCAGATGACCCAATCAGGCAGATTTAGTTCGAGATTACACAGAACACATTGATTAAAACATTAATCAGTTCAGTTTTACAAGACCTCTACTTAAAGTGAGGTAGTGTTTGACTATAATACAATACTATAATAAGTACTTTACTGTGTTTTGCCATTGTGAAAGCTAAGGGCCACTAACAAGCTTCAAAATTATTATTTAAGCTTTTTTTTTTTCAAGAACCAATTATGTATTTGGCCCATTACCAAGTTCTTTTTGTTCCTTATCCCTCCGGCTGTCCAGTGGGGACTGTTTTTACAGTTCATTAATCCCAGGACTAGAAAATAGAAATGAAAGGTGAAAATTACATCTGTCTACCTATTGACGGATCCAGTGAGCTCTTAGGGGAAAGCTACTGAAGCTATTGGCTAAAACAGACCTTTGTGTTTCCTATGGATTAAATATTTCTCTATTTCCCTAGAGTCCAGATATTAGAAAGAGCTAATAATCAGCTAAAATGAATATTTCTTGGTGGTGTAAGAAGTACAGTCCTTAGAGTTCTATTTTATGTGCTATTGATCTTATCCCATGTAAGGAAAAGGACTCTAATAAACCCAACAAGATAGTGAAGCTTTAAGAAAGTGACACCATGATTACAGAATGTTTTTTCCTCCTAATTCCAGTCCTGTTGACAAAGGTCTCGAATTTTCTTAGAGCACGTTATTTTTAAAAGCTATGTGGGTGCAGTTGTCTTAGTTGATGTTGTGAGAGATTGTGCAATCCTCAAATATAGCACAAGAAAATGTTACTAAAGGATCGCACCATGGCATCGAAGCCTTCAAACATTTCTTTAGTGGAGCGAGGGGGAAATCACAATGTTTCACTGTGGAGATTTTATCGTGAGACTCAGTGGAAGCAGGTAATTCTCCGCCATTGAGAGAAATGAGATTTTTGCCAGTAAGCATAGATTTAGGGGCCAGGGAGAGAAAAAGGTGAGAGAATAAAGTGAGGTAAAGGCTATTGTAAGATGCTCCGTGTGACATTTTAGTCACTGCCCTGTGACAAATTCCTCAGTGAATTCTTCAATTTCTTGTACTGATGCAAGAGGCACTTTTTTTTTTTTTTTTAAAGCAGGACATTATCCCCCCTGGAAAAAGAAATAACAAATAATTAAGGCCACAGCTCTCAGGGAGCCAAGTTTATTGGCAATAAAAGGCAGCTGGGCTGACAACTCTGCCAATTAACCTGCCAAAAGTGAGCATGTCGCTGTGTTAGAAAACAGGGCTGGAACCATCCAGGGACCCGTATAAGGCATGGGCCACAGTCCTCAAGCCCTCAGGGCAGCAGCCTGGGCCCCACCCTTCAGGGAGGCAGTGGCAGTCTGCATTCTTTGCCCAACAAGACCCCTGGCCACAGGACACCATGCAGCATCAAGTCAGGTATGCACGGCCTCTCCCAAAGGTGCCAGTCGGAACAGAAAAATGTGGGAAATTAAATTTTTTGAGCACTTCAGGCATATTCTGTATGTAATGGTGTTGAATCTTCACAATGATACTACTAGGGAAATATAATCATCCTAGTTTCCCCAGGTGAGGAAACGGAGATGTGTAGAGCTTCCAAATTCAGTTCTCCTGCTTCCCATCTCCATTCTTTGCCTCTGCCACGTTGCCCAGATGAAACATCAAGGAATGTTTGTTTTCTGTCTGCCTGTTAGGAGTTCATAGTGTGACTCTGAGCGAGTCACTCAACTTCTGTGAGTCTTGGCTTTGTGTCTGTAAAACGAGGGCTTAGAGACTTCAAGATCTCTCACAACAGTGCTTCTCCAACTTTTTTTGTTTTGGTACCGGGGATCGAACTCGCTTGCTCAGCAGGCGGAAACCGCTTAGCTCCGGCCCACTTCTCCAACTTCTAAGAGGCCCGGGAATCACCTGGGGATCTTGCTGGCCTGGATATTCTGAGTCAGTGGTTTGTGTAAGTGGCCTGCCAGTGTTGAATGCATTGGATCTTGCCAGTGCAGAATAGATGGCAGAAAGGGACACCGGGTGGGGTGTTTGTACTGTAGCTCTCAGCAGTGATGGCGAACCTTTTAGAGCTGCCATTGATAACAGACAGCTGGCTGTGGCACTGCCACAGCTGCTTCGAAGGCTCAGTGGTTCTGCAGTTTCCCCGATGGCTCCATTTCTCAAGAGCCTGTGCTCCTCCCCACTGCACCCCGCAAGAGTTCCCTGGTAATCCCAACTTTCTCCCGGATGGGTTTCTCTCCCCTGCCTCTCTCTCCAGCTGGCTCTGACTCACTCCATCTGAAATGAGATCAATTTTAAAGGACATCTGGTAAATGCCATTCAGAAGCACCTTACTCTCCCAAAGATTTCATTTTACAAATTAAATCACACACCCTCCCTCAGCTGTGCCAGATACATGGTGGCATATAAAGTTCCTTCCTTCCTTGGAAGCCTCTCTGTGTTCTGGTAACTACCACCAGCACTTGACTAGTCTTCCATGATTGCGCTGTGCTGTAACCCTGTGCAGTGGTATTTATTGTTTCAGGAATGGCTGCAGAGGCCAGAAGCCAGATTTTTATTATCTCTGTGGGGAAACATATCCTATAAATTCAAGATAAAAGTATATCGTGAATCAAGAAACAGATAATTGACCATTAAAATTTCTTTTCTTTGTATCTTTCTAAAAACTCCCACTTTAAGCCATCTGTTCAGAGTTGGCTCTAATTAGAGTTCTTTAGAAATATAGGCATACTATGTTGTGCCTATAAAGAAGGTATACTATTTTTTTTTAACTTGATCTTTTCTTATAATTCCCAAAAGGATACTGTGTTTTCAGATGGTTGTCAGGGGATGAGTCAGCTCGAAATGTTTGACCTAGATAAACAGAATGTCATTCACTTCATCTGAAAGTACAGGGATGATGAACTTGGACATCCATAGCAGTGGCAGAAGTCGCCCCCAGGCTGTCTGCCTTCTCCAGCCAGCAGCCATCCTCCTAGGGAGCTTCCGTGGCCAGGCTTTTACCCTCGCTGCTTTTTATTGCCGTGTTTTGAATTGTTCTAATGAATTGTACGGTGTGGCAGAACTCCGAGGCATTTTGTTTTCTTGGGTTTATTCGTATGTCCCAGCCCAGCTATGTTTACCCATTTGGTAAGGTTTATGATGGATTTGTTCCCCTGAATTAAACGAAATCTTTTCCTTCATTCTGCAAATTTGGTAATTAATCCATTACTAGCCATTGAGCCCCGGGAATCAAAGACACCTGGAATCAGAGTTCTGTGGGACCCTGAAGGTCCCCGAGCCTGAATGCCCATGTCTGATGCCTGACCTCCTCCAGGGTCTCTGCCCAGTGGAGCTTCACTCTGCTCTCCCAGCGTTCTCGCAACTGCACCTCGAAGGCCCTGTACTAAGATCTCTTTGTAAGAAGGCTCTCATTTGGGGTGGGGCTTTCAGAGACCAAAGTGGCCGGCTTGGAAGGCTGCAGGCCCCCAGAGTAGGCCACTGAGGGGTCTGGCCCGGGGCACTCTCCGTGGGCACTGGGCGTCTCCAAGCTGCTGCTGCAAAGCCAGCTCTACCCACGGTGCCACCCGAGGAGGCATTCCATCTCTTTCCAGGGGGCATCTGAATTTCTGTGTTTGGACTTTGAAGAGATCAAGGGCCACCAAGCCCTGAAGAACTTTCTGAGGGTAGGAGAAAGTGTCAGCACATGGACACAGCCCGCCTGACTAAAGATGGTGTAGAAGGAGTTGATGTTGAAACAAAGGTGTTCAGGATCCCACCCCAACACTGCAGAACAAAAGCAAAATTTTTCCCCCCATAGAATTACATTCTTATCAAAAAATAAAAACTTTATTAGACTGAGCTGAAATTCAGTTCTCTCTAGTTCCCGCCCTTTGCTGGCAATGCAGGGCAAACAGAACAACACCCTCTTCCATGTGATGGTCCTCTGAGTATTTGTAGGTAACAGCTGTGTCCCCTCTGTCTCCCCTGCTCCAAGACCTTTGCTGCTTGTCCTTATGGCAGACATTGGGCTCCTCACTATCCTGGTTGCACGCCTTCCAACAGCCTCCTGTCTGTCTGTCCGTCTGTCTGTCCGTCCCTCCCTCCCTCCTTCCCTCCTCAGGTGTGTGGCCCTGCAGCAGTGGTCCCTTGCCCCAGGGGTGAGGGAGACCGGCCTGCCCACCTTGACCTTGGCTGTACCCTGGACCCCCGCCCCAGGGCTGGCCTGGCCCATGTGCAGAGACCCGGGCCTCAGGGCCCTGTGATGTTCTTGGGCTGTCACTGCAGCCAGGGCTGAGGAGCACGGTCTGATTCTGTACTGGTCAGAGGCATTGATGGCTGCAGGGGTACAAGGGGAGCAGGGTGGAGGGGAAGTGCTGGCTGTCACTGAATGGAGCCATCTCTCCATGAGATGGCACTTGGATTTGTTTCTTGGCTTTTAGTTTGTACTCTGATTTTCTTGCATGTTGGTAGAAGACCAATATAACCCTAAATTTTATAGCTAGGAGAGCTGTGCTTATGTTTTCATGCTTCATGTTTTATTATGTTTCTAGCAGGGTTGTTGGTGTGTGTGTGTGTGTGTGTGTGTGTGTGTGTGTGTGTGTGTGTGTGTGAGAGAGAGAGAGAGAGAGAGAGAGAGAGACACACACAGAGTCTACAGTGTTGCCCAGGCTGATCTTGAACTCCCGGACTCAATGATTCTCCCACCTCAGCCTCCCTAGTGCTGAGTACACAGGCACATAGTCAGATACTATTTTATTTTGCCCCCTGGGGTGTTACAATGAGGCATTCCGAGTTAGGATAAGGAGGGAGGGACATACATCTCCCTCCTGATATCCACTCCCTCCCTACTTCATCACATTTACCTTTTTTTTTGGTTTTTTGGTTTTTGAGACAAGGTCTCACTAGTCCAGGCTGACCTTGAACTCAGGGCAGTCCTTCTGCCTCAGCCTCCTGAGTTCTGGGATTACAGGGGTGTACCACCACACCTGGCCATCACATTACTTTTTAACTATAGGTCTCTAACTCACACTAGATTGGCAGCTTCAGCTTCTAAGTCTTTTCCACTGACGCTTCTGCTAAGCTATTTCCCCACCTTATATTTTGACAATTTTTTTATTTTAAAAATTCACCTGTAGAGTGATAAAGGCCAAATGAGAGGGGACGGATTAGGGGTGCTGTAACAGTGAGTTCTCAATGCCGAATCCAGAATCAGACCCACTCAAGTGGCCAGCATGCAATACTGGGAAGCCACAGACTCCCCATGCAGGGATTGCCCTTCCTCGAAAAGCAGACAGCGTGGAGATGCAGACTGGCATTCATGCCTTGTCTGAAGGCAGATACCTGAAAAAGGGAATTGCATGTTAAAAGGACTAAAGAGGGAAACACTGTTCATTGGCAGAATCTCACTTAATCTGTACAGTATCCCTGGGATGGGGCTGTAGTGGTGCCTGCATTACGCATGAAGACACTGGGGCTCGGAGGGGCCTTGAGTGCTAACAAGTGGGGTACTGGGACAGACGCTGGTCACACTCCTGCCACCACACCACACTGCTACGGTAAGGAAAGGCTTCGTCCCCGCTGGATTTCATTAGGTTTGCTCCCTTGTTCCCACCTTTCTGTCTTCCCAAATCCTGTTTCTGCAGGCTTTGAACTTACTGGTAGGTAGGGAAATCTTCTGTGTTCGTTACTTTTCTCTCGTTGCTGAGACAAGATAGCCGGCACCCAAAGTTAAAGGGAAGGGCTTTATTTATTTGGCTTTCAGTTCGTAGAGGTTTCAGTCCATAATTGGCTGGCTGCGAGGCTGGGATGGCAAACAGGCCTCGCAGAGGAGAAACACCATGGTGTGCACAGGGTAGCAAAGGCAACAAGGGGCCTTCACCGCGTCTTTCCGCCTCTTTTATCCCATCCAGACTACCCGGATTAGGGCGGAGCTAAACGAATCACTCACATGTAGTGGTTTAGTAGTCACAGGCCCTTGACCCCAGCATCAAACACTCCAGGCTCAGCCACCTGTCGGAACGAGGCTCTGGGGGACATCCAGACCCGAACCACAGCACCCCCCACCTTGGTGCAGTTTCCTACTCAGAGTAGGAAGTCAGGCCACACAGGGCTCGTTCTGTGCTCTTGACTGTGTCCATGAGAAGTGGGAAGAAAGGTGTTTTTTTAAATTAATGTATCTGAATGATTTATACAGTAGTTCCTAACTTACAACAGGAAAGGTGACTTGTAAGGCAGATCTTGATTATTTAGAGATAAATTTTGCCCTAGAAAAAACCCATCCTTTTAGCCAATGATCCGAGTTTCTGGCTGTCTGCAATGCCTACTTAACCTGCACTGTACATGGTACGTGATTATAAAAGTGCTGTCTCAACACCACGGACGTACTGCGGATCACACTGGCAGTGCTTCCCTAGTTACTAAGAAAGCTTCTGTCACTCTCTGGGTAGCAGGACCTTTCTTAGGCCTCTAGGAGACCACAGAACCATAGGCTCATATCACCTGTCTGAATAATCAGTCCTGGGCTTTCTAAATCCAGCAATTGTGTTCCTGATAAGAGATCAGCTGTTTTAATGGAATACAAACTGCATCAGCCTCAGAGCTGAGGAACACTGGAGATTCAGATATCCCTTCTCCTCCTGCCACCTTCGTGCCAGACTTATTGAAATCTAGGGCTTGGGAACAGAATTATGTCTCAGTGCAATTGACTGTTCCTGCAGCCTCTTCCTGTGGAAATACCCACTCCCGCATCTCTCTCTACCTGCTTTGCAATGCAGGGGTCCCTTTCTGCACTCACCTGGCTGCCTCTGTTTGTTTGGTTCCACTGGCTTTGACAGTTAAAAGGCTCAACTTTTTGACACTCTTGTCATTCTGCAGTGTTTGGGGAAAGACCTGTTTCCAAATGAAAATAATATTTGGCTCTTCAGATAAAGCCACTTGGCAGGGGCCAGTTGGCCAGGGAGCTGGAGGGCCAGGCAGGAGTGTGCATGAGCCCTGTGCCTCTCTCTCTGCTCCCACTCACTGCCTACTCTCCCTCATGCCAAATTGCATACTTTGTCTGAGCTGAAAGCCGAGGCCCATGTCTAGGAAATCTCTCAGCACTGGAAGCAGTTTTTAAGTTTCAAACTTCCTTTCTGATCTACAACTCAGTCTCATTGTATCCATCTCACTGCCTGGTCCCTGGTCAGAACCCTATGGCAAAGGGTCTAACAAGAACCCGGATCCCTGCAGCTGCAGGAGGCGGTGAGGGTGTGCGCATGTGCGTGTATGCTTGTGTGGGGGTACCTGCCGGTGTGTGAGTATACACACAGAATTCAAATGCATGCTACATCAGTAGTCACCATGCATTCGGAGAACTTCCTGTGATGTTCCAGTCTTTATTACCATGAAACATAAGTAGGCTAGGGCGTGGGTTGCAGGAGAGGGAACCCCTTAGTGGTCAGGCTTCGGAGAGTCAGGGTGCTGAGATGGGCTGTGGAGTGCAGCGTGGCCAGGCAGGCAAGCAACGGATGGAAGCTCGTTCTCCAAGCTGGAGCCAAGGGCTGCAGGAAGGGGATGAAGGTGAGGACGGGGAGGGTCCCATCGTGAAGGCCTTCTATGTTGTGCTATATCTTATACTCTAGGTAATGGGAAAGCAACCTCAGGCCGAGGAAAAGACATGGCCAGACAGGTTAGCCGGCAATGCTGAGGCACGTGTGCTAAAAATATCCCAAACTGGAGGGAAGTAGGATTCTTTCTTCATCACTGAAGGAAAAAAAAAAAAGAATAAAGCTCTTACCTCAGCTCTGGGTAGAAATCTTTGCTTCTTCCTCCGGAAATCCAGCTTCATCTTCTCCTTTGTGGTTTTGTGCTGGTGGCTTCTCAATCGGGTCTTGCAAGCAAAGCTAGCAGATGGCTCTCATCCTGTGCGCTGCCCTGGGCCTGCTCACGTGTTGGGCTGATGAATGGTCCCCTCCTGCACACCTGACCTTTGTGTTGCCACCTCCCTGACTGGGCCACTTGGTGCTCTCAATTGAACCATCACGCATACAGGCTCACGAGCCCCTCGGGACTGGACCACTTCCCTCTAAATCACATACGTGGCAGAAGCATGGAGGACCACGACTTAGTGGGCCATTAAGACACAGTTTTCAGATCTTGAGCTTTGACCCGAATACACTGTCACCAGTCTGGAGTTGAGTCTACCCTTGTGCTGTTTGTTTCTTTAATTTTTTTGCCTTTCTCCTTCTGTGATTTTCATGTTTCCTTCACTTTTCCAAAATTTTGCGGTGTCATGGATCCAGTTCAGAGGAAGTGAACATTTCTGTTTGTTCAAACTTTTCCTCCTAATAAAGTTCAAGTGTTATGATAGGAAGGTTGAATGATTCATCCAACTTTGTCTGCTGACAGTGAGTGTGTCAGGGAAGGCAGGCTTGTTGGAAAGCATCCCACGCCCATCTACCATGTCCTGCTCCAAACTCATCCAAGGGTGTTCACCCATGGACGTTTGCATGTAAAGTTCCTGAGGGCACTGTTGGCAGGAAAGAACCAAGAGAAATAGAGCTGCTGAGAATGGAGGGGTGGCAGAGGAGGCATGTAGGGGAAGAAGGGACAGACAGATGAGAACTGAGAGGCTAACAGTATGGGCAAGGAAAGGAGGAGGGAAAATGAATTGGGACGAAGTATGTCACACAGAAAAGAAGAGTCCTGGATGACCTGAATAAGATAATTAGTATACCTTCGACTTCAGGCTTTCTGCAGCAGAGCAGTCCAGATTATATGAGGAAGCTAGGTGTCGACAGGCCACTATGATTGCCCCTGGTGAGCACCTGGATGCAGACACCGGGTGCTGTTTGCTTTGTTCTCTCTCCCCCACTTGCCATGCCCTGCAGGACTTGATACTGACCACTGGCCGAAGGACCAGTGGCCACTGAGTCTGCTTTGATTCACCAAGCAACACACTTGGGATTTTTACCTACCTTCACACACGGAAGAATATTCTCGCAGCGCTGGCCCCTGCCCTTGCAGCTACTTTCCTTAAACAGTGGAACAGCTACTTTTATTTATAATCTGTTTTTGTTTTTAATTCCCAGCCTGGGCTTGTGATGTCTCCTCAGCCTGGTACAGCATGGTCCACCCGGAGCAGGGTGCCCTCCGGGAAAACACCAGGCAGTGGAAGCTTCGTGTCAGCAGTGGAAAGTGTGTTGGCTGCTCCAGGGTGTTCCACCCACTAAGAATTGCTCGAGTGTGTGTCTTTAATGTCTCCGCTGGGATGTGGGCAGGGCTGCCACCCACCTGGGCCATGCTCTGGGCCGCCCTTTCTGCCTGATCACTGACTACTGGACCATCACCCTTAGGGATCAGCTAGGCTGAAGATGTGTACAGTTCCAATTTCTACCTTCAGATGCTTGGTGTTTGGGCTGCTTCAACATCTGAGCGGAAAGGACCTGCAGCCCTTGTGGGAAGAAGCAGGGCCCCACCGCACACCTTCCCTCTCCCCGCTCCTCCCCAGGAGAGTTGCTGTTCCTGCGCCCAGCTAGTGGTGGCCTTTTGAATCCCTGTCCTGTCTTTCTTGGGCTGCTCACCAGCTTCCCTGCCTCTCTGGGAAGCAAATCCTCCAAACCCAGGCTCTGCAAAGACAGAAGATTTAAAAGCTTTTGGAAATCAAAAATAGATTTTCAAAATTGCCAGCAATGGCCAAGGGTTTCCTCCACCACAGCCCCAAATCCCAGGGCACTGGGAGGTTCTTTTCCTTGCTGTGCTGCCTGGGCTGGATGCTGGAGAGGCAAGGAGGGTGGCTTTGCGGACAAGCCCATCCTGACATGCCCAGCGCCCACTGTTGGGTCCAGCTGGGGCCCCAAGCTTGCCGGGGCTCCAGTCCTAATCTGCGTGGGTTCAGCAGCAGGGCTGGTGGGCATCAGACCCCAGGCTCCCACGTGTTGAGTCTGTCCTGTGCTGGTCGCTGCTCTTCTGCCATCTGGAAGCCATTAGCACTGAAATGGTTTCAGGTGTTTGCTGAGCACGGGTTCGGGGGAGGAGGAGGCACAGCCCAGCCCCCACAGCCACGAGTCTTCGCTTCCTGTAGGATTTCCAGTTTAAGCCCGGTGAAGCCCTGCCCTCCGGGCCACCCCGGTCTTCACCTCTCCCACCCCTTCTCCATGCTTGGGACCCCGAGGGCGGTGACATGTGTGTGTGTGGGGGGGGCTGGCATCCATCCTCGCTCCATTTCCTACCCACTTGTGGGGTCACAGGGAAGAGGGTGCCGAGTCACTTCCTTAAAATCCATAAGAAGAAGGACTGCACTTTACATTCTTTGTGGCTTGCATTTTGCAAATGGGATCTCTCAGAAGAGCCCTCAGAAGGGCCAGGACTCAGCCTCTTGCCACCTGAAGTCCTTATAATGACCACATCATCACGACAGCTGCCCACGGTTCTGGCCCTGTGCCATGGGCTCTATTTGCCGTCCCCCGGTCCTCATGGTAACCCTGACTTGAGGACACTGGGGCTCGGAGAGTTTAGCCGCTTCTCTAAAGGACAGTGGGTTCTGTCTGACCAAGGTCTCTGCAGTCTGCAGTCTCATGCCCAGGTAGGGCGGACACCCCAGGGGCAGAGGGGCAAACATCTGCAGTTCACGTAGATGCCGTAGTGCAGCGGTGGGGTTTTTAAGGAAGCAAAGTGATCTTTTGAAAGGAAACTCACGCAGCCTGTCAGCCTCTTGCCAGCTCTACTACAGTGCAACCTGCCAAAAACAGCCCAACCTTGTTTGGGGTATGAAAGCAGCTGTCATAATAAACTTCCCGGCTCCGCCTCTTTTCCTGTTAGGGTGGAAAGACTGTTGAAAGTAAATGTCGCCAATCCGTGGATTTTCTGGGGTCATGAAAACAGCTTTTAATTGGCAGTCTCGATTACATTTTTCGGTGAAGTTCAGAAGCAAACAGAATGACCCCACCATTTCACAGCCACACCAAATGGGTGCCCGGACTTGGTTCCCAGCCCTGCTCTCCGGAAGCATTGGCTGATTCCAGAAAGATGGGTCTCGGCCTCTCTTCTGTCCCAGGGCTTCCAGGCAAGGGCAATGGGCTCAGGGAACTTGGAATCATGAGCTGGGTTGAAATCCTGGCTCTGCCAACTGTGGGCATGGGATTTTTCAAAAGCATAACTAGGGAAGGCCTATCTGAGGTGACAATGGAGTAAAAACTTGAAAAAAGTGTGTGTGTGGGAACCATGAAGGTATATAGGTGGAGAGTCCTAGGCACAGGAGACCGTGCATGCAAGGGCCCTGGGGCAGCAAGCCTGGTGTGTTCGAGGAACAGTGAGGAGGGCAGTGTAGCTGGGATAGAAGGGGTGAGGGGTGAGTAGGTGTGCTCAGGGTGCAGTCAGGGCCTCGTGGACCTCAGCTCTTAGTGAGACAGGAAGCTCCCAGAGGAGCCTGGGCAGAGGAGGGACGTGATCAAGACAGAGCCAGATGTGAGAAAAGACATTTCAGCTTCATTCACAGCAGCTTCTGCTCCTGCTGTTGGTTCCCATGAGGATAGCTGCCAACTTTTGGAGACCATTTAAGTAGGCCATTTCTTAATGGGACCTCTGGGCCTCTCTGGAGACATTGTACTTGTTGATTTTAACAACAGAAGAACTTTCTCTGACTCCCCCTGTGTCTGTATCCAGCCTCGGTCCTTCCCTTGGATGGTGCTGTCTTGCTTGCCATTGTCTAGATGTTGCCACTTAGCTGGCTGTGTGGACCACTGCGGTCTCTGGACTCCAGAGCAGCCCCGCAACCACGGGAAGGGACTGAGGCAGAAGGGTGAGGGAGGGGACATTGGTAAGTGGACTCAGCATAACCAGGCATCAGAAAACTTAGGAGCGCCTACAGATTCTGGTGAGAAAGCATTCTGACAACCTCATGCTTCCTTTGAAAATCAGTTCTGAACCTCAGGTCCGCGGTAGCTCCCGGAGCCCGTGCCCCTCCTAAAGTGGTGTCCAAATGTGCGTCTGGGGGGCAGGGGTTTGCTGGAGGAGTCTTGGTCCTTGGATGGCTTTCTCCCAGTTGCCAGCTGTACTTGCCACACGAGTGAGAATCTGTAACATCCCGATTTGGCAAGTATTGTTTATGGCATTTCCAAGCTAGAAAGCTAAATTATAGTCTCCTAGACGTTATGGAATGTCTTTCTGAAGAATCAAGGTGTGCCGTCGTCCTTCAAGGTCTGTTTTGCCTCCTTGCTCATGGCTTTAATTACCAAGAATTCACCCTGTGTATTAGATCACTTGTTCTTATGTGCTCTTCACTCCCTTTGAAACACCTCCAGTTCTAGCGATGCTTTCCACACATGCACAGGGGCCAGCAACCTAGGCCTGAGGTATTTGGAAGCCCCCATCCCTCCGGGTCCTTCATGGAACAAGGCCCACGGGCAAGGGGAAGGTGGAGGTCAGAAGGGGAACAGAGAACAATTAAACAAGAAAGTGCAGCCACTTTGCTGCTATACGGGGAATAGAAACACAGGTTGAGCATCCCTAATCTAAAAGTCTGAAAGCCAAAATGCTCCCAAATCTGACACTTTCTGAGCACTGACACGATGCCATCAGTGAAAGATTCCACACTTGACTTCACATTACAGTCAAAACACAGGCGTGTAGGGTTCGGGGATTTAGCTCAGTGGTTTCACTGCTTGCTGCGCAAGCGCAAGGACCCAAATTCAATCCCTGGTACCAAAAAAAAAAAAAAAACCACAGGCGTGCTAAAAATCCAGGGCCCACAGGCTTTGTGGCTGTGGTATATATGGTGGTTATACCTTTTTGTTTGTTTTTTTGAGACAGGGTCTCACTATGTAGCCCAGGCTGCGCTCAAACTTGCAGCAATCCTCCTGCAACATAAATGAATTTTATGCTTAGATTTGAGCCTTATCCCAAAGTTATCTCATGATATGTATACATATTCTAAAATGTGAAAAACTTTGAAATATTTGTGGTGTCAAGCATTTGGGATACGAGTTACTCAACCTGTAAGATGTATGCATTCCTAGAGTCCCACTAGCACACACTGGCAGTGCTCGATGGTGACATAATGTCCACAGAGTATATCCGCTGGTGGGTGCTCACCTGCAGATGTACGGGAGGCACCTTGGGAGGAGCTCTGGGGGCCGACGCTGTCCCTGTCACTGGAGTGCTGCCACAGTCGATTCTGCTAGTTCAGATAAGCCCGCAGGGGCTCTTAGCTGGGACTTACAGAAGCCAACAAAAGGATTTGTTGAGAATGACTGATCTACGCCATGGAATGCAACCCATGCAGTTTATGGTACATAATTATGTACAGTAAAGGACTCAGGGTGGGCTTTGATACCCAGTTCCAGATCTTCTCACTGAAGAACTAGTGAGAACCCTTCATCAGTGTGGCTAGGGAAATAGTTCTGGTGCTGTCCGAATCCATTTCCATGTGGTCACACCACTCTTTCCCCTGCCGGTCTTATGGAGCCATCTAAGCTCACATCAGGTCAGAGAGAGCCTTGAGAGAGACCCTGAGCTGCCCCTGACTTCACAACTCTACCCAAGGCGGTGGAGGGGAAAGCTTGACCATCTGACCATTGGAAACATGGCCAGCAGGGTGAGCTTAATTTGACCAGTGATGTGGACCATCAGAACCACTGCGACATAGGAGTCCATGTATTTGTTCTTCGGTGCCATAAAAATTTCTCATTTTTCATTAAGATGGAAACTTAAAAAGAGGAAAACCATGAAGGGTCTCATGACAGACTCAGACTGTGTTCCTGTCTGCCACCATCATTTTACTATTGTCCCGTTTATAGAGAAGCAGTGGTCCATGCTCCAAGTACCACATTTCACAGAGAAGCCTTTTTTTTTTGGCTACAGAGCTATAATTTCTGTTTCCTTAAAGATGGAGGACCTAGGTTTAGAGTTGGATCCAAAAGCATTATTTGGCCAGAAGCACTTTTCTCCTGGAATATCAAACTAAAACTGGATCCCCTATTTGACACTCCTGTGCCACAACATTAAATGTCCCCTTTGAAGAAAGTTCTAGGTACATCCTTGAATCACCACGGGTGAATTATATTATCCAGTGTCAGTAAGTAACATCCTTTCAGGTGTAACTTCCAAAATGGTGTAGGAAACTCTCTTTGTTTTTTGTTTTTCTTTTTGGTACCGGGGATTGAACTTGGGACCTGGCGCTTGCGAGGCAGGCGCCGGAAACACTGAGCTAAATCCCCAGGAAACTCTCTTTTGCCTCTACTTCTGTACCAGTTTCAAAGGTTTGGGTCATCTGCCCCCCACTTTGGCTTGGTGACTTTGGAACTGTGATGCTTGGCTTAATAGAAACAATAGAAATTAACAGAGTCAGGGCAGGGAGCATGGCTCAATGGCAGAGCATTTGCCTAGCGTGCCAGAGCCTCGGGTCCGATGCTGGCATTACCGTGCTTATAATCTCCAGGAAAAAAGGATGTGAAAACCCTTAGTATTGGGAATCTCCAAAGTGGTGACTAGATCAGTACTTATTTCCTCACCTGATACACTGGATCGACTCTGTCCTAGATGTCCTTTGGCACGACTGTGGTACAAGATTAGCTTGTTCTTTATTACTAACCCTACAGTCTGTGTCATCCCTAGGTCCCAGTGAGCAAAGCACAGGTCCTCCACCTTGGAGTCTCTCAGCCTGTCATGGCAAACTGCCCGTCATAGGAACGTTCCCACAGTGCATTCCCCAAGCCTGTCTTCACTCCCATTGTCCCAGCTCTCCTTGTCTCCTGCTTTGTCTACAGAATCACAACTTTGCTCTTTTCCTTATTTAAAAACAAAATGTGTTTCTCTCCCCTACTCTGATCCTTTCCATCCTACCCAGGGCTGGGCAGAAGGAGCCCTCCTTGAGCCGCGGGGCCTCCTGGAGCCCTGGCTCTTCAGCCCTGCTTGGATAAACATTTCTCCTGCATGATTTGTGCCCAGCCGTGGAGTAGGCGGGAGTGGAAACAGATGCGCCTTCCACCAAGCTCCAAGCCATGAGGACCGACTTCTGTGCAGTAGTCCTATGGATAAAATTTAGTAAATGCACAATCACATGCTCATTTGGGCTCTATATGCCCTAATAAATTAGTGCTTCTAATTTTATAAGCACTGTCATAACCGCGGTTATAAGTGGGCCTTTCCCTGAGACTGCGGTGTACGTTCCTTTGCTTTAGTAGGTGTTGTTTATTAGGTGTTGTTTCCCCTAAGTGCTGTTGAAGGTGACAGATTATTTCAGGATAACCAGCAGGTTGCGTTTCCAGGGGGTTGGTTGTCTGGACCAACTGCTTTCCGGCAGGAAGGAGCATGCATAGGCTGGAGCTATAAAGTCTAGGGTTAATTTTAGTTCTCATTTAGGAAGGAAGCACGTTTGGTGAATCACTGAATCTTTTTCAGTTCCTCTTAGGGCCGTGCACTATGCGGAAGGAATGAAATAGTGCTGCCTCTGTTTGCAGAGAGGACACAGCTGGCCCAGCATCAGCAGGACCCAGGCCTCCACTTGCGTTTCCGGCACTAGGGCTGGTGGTGGGCAGGACTGTGCTTCCTCGGTCGCTGAAGTGGGGCCCATCCCTGAGGTCCTGCTGTGTGGTGACCCCCCCCAGAACAACTGCCTCTTCTCACGGGGAGGGACTCTTTTACCACAGAATATTTTAAAGACCAGTAAGTAACGAGCTCACATGATGTTGTAAGCTACATGCAAATACATGCTGCAAACTAGGAGTAAAAGTTGCAAATGAATCCCTAACTCCAGATGCTGCATTCACTAGGGTAGAGAGAACCTGGAGCCCAGTATGGATGTGGATGACCTGAAGTCCTCACCAAAAGCCTCTTCTGTCAGTCTGTTCGTACCTTTTGAAACACAACTAGGAGCTGTGTGGCCATTTGGAAAATATAATGCATTTCCTCGAGCATGAACTACAGGGACGTGATCTTACCCTAAGAATTTCATACCACATGAAAGTGTGTATGTATTTTCTTTATCTCTGATCTCCATTATCCATTTGTTTCCAGAATAACGTGTCCCTGGCCACATGTTACCGTTCTCTGGTATCAAAGCTGAATTTCAGGAGGCTTCCGGATCCTGCCTCCACTGTGAACAGCACAGCTGTGTAATTCTGAAATTCTCTTTCAGTTTCTGGGTCTGCCTGTTGTTACTGCAGACTTTTCTGCATCTTGTGAATGTAAGGGAGTCACTCACCTTTGGACCCTTGGATTTCTTTTTTTTCTGTCTAGTTGATGGGGCTTTCATTCCTCTGGGGGTCCCTCCGTCCGAAGCCAGATGTGCCCTCCAGGTTCTCCTGGGCTTTGTCTCTCAGCCTCACCAGAGGAACGGCATGTGGGCGGCCGCTCAGACCAGTCCTTCCGTCTGTTCTGTCCACATGAGAAGAAAATGCACCTTCAGCGCGGTTGGCCAGGGTTAAGCTAAGCCTGTACCTGTGGATTGGACAGACGTGTAGGAATTGAATCTTAAATATTGCCAGCATCCCTGGGAACCTAAAGTTATCTCACCCGCAGAGATTATGAGTTTGGGATTTGCTACATTTCCACGAACGTTTGCAGTTCAGAACATCTACTGTGTACAGATACTGTGAATAGGAATACACATTAGATCTCTGTAACCCTGAGGGAGAGAGAGGGAGCTCTGCTCCATTATAATCTCTACCGTGTCCAGGCTTGGTGCTGTCAGTGATCCTGAACATCTCAGTGATTATATGGACAGAGAGGTTGTTGGGTTTATTTAAATGTGATGGGTCAACTGCAGTAAGCCGAGTGGTGCGCTGCCACATGTTTAAACAACCGGCTGTCCCGAAGGCAAAGGCCTTGGTTTGGAGATGTGCACGCACTTCCTTTGCATAAATATTCCCAGCATGACCAATTTCAGCTCGCCAATGTCAAGTCACGGAACATGGACTTGTGAGGAGAGACGGTTGGTTCTCAGTGTCAACTGGCTCCAGCCACACCCCTGACAAATCTATGGGGATTGTGAATTCAGATTTCCTTTAGACATCCTTTGTTAGGTGGGCATGTTAGTGGATGCCTGTAATCCTAGCACTTGGGAGGCTGAGGCAGGAGGAGCACTATGAGTTTGAGTCCAGCCTGCGCCACATAATGAGTTCAAGGGCAGCCTGGACTACATAGCGAGACCCAATCCTCTTTTTAACACCTCTTATGTCTGAAGAAAGTCACTTTGTATGTATACACTGCGTGGTTTTTCCTAGGCATTTCAGTTTTGAATACTTTACTACATTTAGCTGTCATTTATGAATTCTTTGGCATGAAAAGTTTAGTAACCATACATTTCCCATTTACTTTGCATTCAGTTATAATTCATGTGGGCTTTCTTTTTCTGAGAAATTTGTAATTTTTATTTCCAGTTTCATTTCTTTGACTGTGGAAACCATAGCTGTCTAACCCATGAAAAGACTGTTCCTTTTCTCTCTCTCCCCCTCTTTCCCCTCTCATTCAGCTTGAGTAACAAGCATGTAAATGGTGAATGGGGTGCTCCTTCCTGAATCAGGGCTCTCTTCCCTCATGGCCTCCGTGGGCCTGCAGTCTGTAAAATAGGTTCCCCTTCCCCCTTACTATTTATTTGCTGACTTTGTCTCAAGTTGACTGACTTCTCATTAAGGTTCAGGCTTGAGGCTGCTGTGGGTGCAGAACCTAAAAACTTCTTTAAAATCTGTCTGCAGTAAAATCTGTCTTTCTGCTTTGGCTCTTCTCTTCATCCTACGCGTCCTCGAGTATAGTCTTCACTTGAAGAAATAGAAAGACAAATACTCAGAGGAGTGAGGAATGTCAGTCAGGCCAATTTATATTTTCATTTACTTTGAAGCCTGTTCCCCCCCCCCCATTGAAACACCTGTTTGTTGGCTAAGAGAAAATCGAGTAGGTGTGTTTGAGTGAGCAGGCTTAGGCTTCTAGGCTAGTACCTGCTTTGCTGCATCATTTCTACGCTTCCCACATCAAGTCAGCGATCTGCAGCACCCTGTCATTACCCAAGATATGTGCTGCTGGGCATGTTTCCTGTCATCTCTGCATTAGTCCCTCTGCTACCCCCAAAGCGACGGTCTACCAGCAGCAGCACCTGAGCCAAGGGCTGGGGCGGGGGGGCTTGCTTTTCTTGTCTCCGCCCCATCAGACTGGGTTTCGTGAGTTTGAGAGGCACTTGGTGTAGAAACAGTGGCTGCTTTAGCACCGCAGGGTCGGCTGCAGACTTGGAAGAGGGTGAAGGCTGCTCCATTTGTAACCCCTCCCCACTCACCCGGACCTCCATCCGAGATCTGAAAACTTCTCTGAGCCCCCAGGAGCCTGCAGATGAGGCTGAACGGGTAGGAGCAGGTGCTCTCGGGTGCCTTTTGACTGGCAGGCCTCTGAGCAGCTTCCCTCCCAGGATGGCCACACCCTGGCCTGTAGGACAGCAAGCTCAGTGTGTCCCTCATCACCTAGAAGCCTGGGCACTCAGGTAAGTCCCATTGCTGGGACCCATACCCCAGCCACGATGGCAAAGTGCTGGAGAGTACTGGGTTAAGGCAGTGCGAAAGGATTTCCCCAGAAACATTAACTCTCCAGGCTGAAGATGGGACTGAAAGGACCTGAGAGACACCAGTGAGTGTAAGCCACAGAGGGGAGGGGATTGGGCACAGCTGGGCTGGGGGCAGGGCCGAGTCGGAAAGGGTTCAATAGGGAGGGAATCTGCAGAGCAGCTGGAAGGAAGTTAAGAGGGAAAGTAGCTCAGAAGAGAGGCAAGTCTCAAGACTCAGAGAGGAAAAGAGCAGCCATTTGGGGAGGCTCAGTAGGTATAGGTTCCTTGAGTTCTTTCCTTCCATACTTATATCTCAAATAAATGAATAAATGTATTGTAATGAGAAAAGAGCATGATGAAGCAGATGTTGTGTAGCGGTCTAAAGGTCTTTGGCTGGGAGTCAGCAAACCCAAGCCTAATTAATTTTCTCTCACCATTTCCTAAGTCCTCCTGTGCCTTCTTCCTTCTTGTTAGCATCCCTTGCCCGATTCCTGCAAGCTTGAACCACTAGCAATTGTTGGGGTCCCTAGGTGCATGAGCCATTGGAGATTGACTTTTGAGGTTCCTGGCTTAGTGTCACAGATCTATTTCCCAAGGAAAATTCAATAGGGGCAACCAGCTTGTTTTGGTTTCCAGCTGAGACTGATGGAGGCTCCCCTGTGCGTCCCATGGTTTGCCTTCCAAGCCCATCCCGTTACAAAAATGTCACCATCCTTGTGGGTTGTTCTTGCCAGCCAAACCTCCAAGCTGATCCTGACCCCTCTTAGAAGAAGGAACATTTATTTAGGGTGGAAGAATTAATTACCTTGCTTCCTAGGTATCTCACCACAGATGGTAAGAGAAATTACGGTTTTCAGAAGCCTGGGGCTTGTAATAGTTAACTGGAGATTAAATTTTACTGCTCATTTCTGAGAAAGGTTATCTCTCAACATGTGAAAGGTTGTTTCTGCACTCTTTTATTTTGACAGGATACTTCCAGTAAAAGTCGCTACAGTTTAGTTAGGCACCCTTCATCTTGCTTTGTCTTTAAGCATAAAGAAGCTATATGTGAGAGATCTGTGTTCAACTCTCAGCATAGCCATTCCCTGGCTGGGAGACTCAACCTCTTTGACCATCTACTTTCCTAAAATCTACAAAATTAGGGTCAGAATTCATGCTCTGCCAGGTTGTCGGAGGGACTGTAGGTGACAAGGAGGGGGAACCTAGCCCATATCAGGTCCTTGGGGACAGGACTTGTCCCCAGTGATTCCTCTTTCATTCACATCAACAGCAAAATATCACCCACTAAAGAAATATCCAGGGCCCTCCCCGCAGATACCCAGAACTGTCTGTCTCAATTAGACAAGGGACTCTGATGGCCCCAGCTGAATTTTCATGAGCTCTTTTAATGAAAAGATTGAGTGCTTAGTCACAGAAGGACATTGTGTGGTGGTACAGGATAATGGAGTTGTCAAGCCTGCTTAGATGTGTCTTCGGGATTGATGACAGTTCACTCCGTCCCTACAGAATGAAAAGACCAGGAATACAGCCAAGGCGGGGCGGGGCGGGGGGCTCTGCAGAGGAGGGACGGTGGGTGAGATAGGATGGTTGACCTCCCCAGCCAGTGCGGGTGCCTCTGCTCACAATCGAAAGCATTTGTGGACAGCTCGTATAAGAAAGGGTTCCCCTTCTAGAAACCACAAGGCAAAAGCAGCGGTGTTCTTCTGAGACACTGCGTGTTCTACCGGACACTGGATATGCCGAGCGGGAGTGTCACATCTGTTTTGTCTACAACAATTCTTTTCCAGTAGGCAGAATATAAATGATACATTTTAAATAAATAATACATACTCTTTCTGAAAAACATTAAAACCAAACCAGAACTGCCTGCCTTTTCTCTTTAGGTATGTGAAATAAATATTTAATGAGAAACAACTATATGCTTGCTAAAAACGCAGACTAGAACTCTTAAGAATGAACCCTGAAGAGGCCACGCGCTCATAAAGTTCTCTTCTGCATACTTTTTCTGGTCAGAATTCACCTTTATGAGTACACAGTTGCTGTGAGGCTTCATTTATTTTGCACAGAAAGTGGTTTCCTTGCCAGTTCTTGTCCTGCTTCCATTTTGCTGATTCTCTACATCATTTAGGAAACTTGGCATACTACAGGGTCCAGTGCTGGGATTTGTATTTGGGAAACTAAATTACTAATAAAAGAAATTACACTAACTAGGTCCCACACCTCATCCTAGAGTAGATGTCCTTTATAACAAGGGAAGGGTAATGACTGGGGGGATAAAGTGGCCTTCACATTTAACTTTTGTTCTCGTGATATTGTGTAACACTCAAGCAACTGACCCCCCAGACGGTAGCTCCGTTTGTTGCTTCGGAGGGCATTTAATTACGTATAGGACTTTCTTGGAATCATCAGTTACTGTTAGGGCCAAATCATTCTCTTGGGTTTATGGGAATATGTGCCACCAGGCAGTAAATTAATAACTGTAGAAAAACCACATGAAAAGGTCACTTCCAATCTCAGATCAGAATCTGTGGTCTTCTGGATTTTGCAATCTCCCAGCTTTTGAAGCTTTTCCAGTAACATGATCCGAGTGACAACAGCACGGAGCTGCAGACAGGATCATTAAGACAGCCCAGAAGCGGTCCCAGCCTCCTCCTCCAAAGGAGGGGGTTGGTCAGCTGGGGCCCATTTGGCAGTCGGAACCATCTGCAGTGATACACATGGTGGGAAAGACGATGGATGGCGGAGGGACCTTATTTTCTCCAGAGAGACTGGAACAGCAGGGTGGGTTGGAGCCTAGACCACAGCGCTTGGAGGGCCTTTATGGGGACCCACAGCAGAAGGAATTCTCTCTGCTGGTGAATTCTTCTGGCCCTGCACCGTCATTCCTGGAGCGCCTCAGTTACTCCGCACC